CTAGCTTTCCTCTTCCGGTTGCGAATCGTCTAAACCCTCACCCTGATAGGATGGGGGGGGGAGGTAATCCAACCTTCCTAAGGTTTTCCAGGATACTGTCTTTCAGTAGCCTATGGTGCATCCATTGCGCGTGTTTTCACACGAGAAACGTGTTTCTAGCTTTTCTGGTTTTGGAGCAGTGGCGGTTTGGAGGAACGCTGCAGAGCGATCTATGGCCTGCGCGGGCAACGGGCGGTATTCCGCGGCATCTATGCCGCGGAACGCACGCAGGGGGCGGCACTGCTGCCTTCGCAGAGTTATATATGAAAAACATGTACTCAAAACACATAAAATTAAACACCATCGTACTCAAAATTGGATAAAAATCACGCCTGCTTCAGTTTTGTGCCCCTTATAGGCGTGGTCTCGTAGGCATGATGAAATCTGTGTGTGATTTTCTGGAAAAGCCGACTTCAATGCAAAGGTCTATTTTTTGGACTTTAAGTTTGAACAAAACTTTCCTGATACGCGTCGAAACTTAAAGGGATGAACATGTAACTTGTTAAGTTTTAAGAAAAGTGAAGTGGATCAGTGCTTGTTTTAAGCAGAGAAGTTGCTTATGGATTCATGACTCATAATTATTCAATGCACGTTATCGTTGCCGGTGCAGGGCTGACGGGCCACTCGGTCCCAGTGCCAGGTGTGTTCTGGCCGCCATTCTGGCGACACGGGTGTCCCTTTGTCCATCCGGAGACACTTTGAGGGATGCACCATACCATCTTGTACTCCATGAACATGTGCTGAGAGGACTGTAAACAGCTGTGCAGAAAAACCAATGATATTTAACAATGACAGAATGGAGCCTTTGCTACTGAGGGAGCCTTGGGTTTGCCCCTCAATATCTCTGGTCACCGTTAACGATAGAAGGACATTATGCCATTTACAACATGAGGCAGTTGCACCCAGTACAATTTAAAGAATATAACTGGTGAAGAAGCCAAAATCGGCATGCATGGTTAAGGTAATACAAAAATAAGCTAAACACAACTTAGATCTGGTAGTTAGGGAGAGGGGCAGGTAACATTGCTTCTCCCTCACCCTAAAAAGTGGGGCCTGTCCACCTCCATCTGTTCCTGCACCCATTTACGTAAGTCTCCTTATGGTCGGTGATTTCCGAAATGCCATAACCTTTAGCAAAGATGGAATTACCAGTAACTTACTAAATCTTTTTAAGGCAAACGAGATGGCGGTACGTGCTGTCAATGGCACAGGTAAATACCGAAGCATGTTTCGTATCGTCGCGGTTGATATTAATGATCATTTGGGTGAGTGACAACCTTGTCGCAGGCACAAAGCAACAGTGTCCTAGAATTGTCCACTTTTTGATGCTAAGCAGCACCTTATGAGGAGGAGTTTTTCACTCCTTTTCCTTGAATTTAATGATAATTTTTCACCCCTACCTGATATTGTCTAACCACACATGTCAAACCCATATTTCCGTTTCAGAAATTTTAAGGCGTCATAAAAACTGAGCTCCCTTGAGACCACCAACCATAAACGAGGCTACACAGAACCTGGACGCCCATGGCTACATCCGTGGCTACGCAGTAGGAATTTTACGAGAATCAGTGTCTCACAAATTCTACTGTGATACAAATGGGTTAGGCAGGATGAGAAAAGGTAAGGGTGCTGTAGGTCAGGCTTAGTTAGGCTACTTTCATGGAAATAAGCATTGGTATTTTGCAAGAAACAGTGACATGATATTTGTATTTCCCGACTCTTTCTTAACAGAAGCCAGATATATGGCCGTGGTGTTTAATTTGGTGATGTGCTGATGTGCAGGAGTCCAAGGCTTTTTTGTTTGAATGCTTTATGCTTGTTGAATTTGTTGCTGTTGTTTTTTCTTGAATTCCTTTGCTTTGCATTCTGTTAAAAATCCTTTGGAAATGAAGCGCGAAGTGCAGCATCAAGACATTGATGTTACATAGTTGTTGATGCTCATTACAGTTCTAAGAAATTACTACGCTTTAATGTGTTCTGTTTCACTGTAATGACCTAAGACGTCGACAAACATTTTTGTCATGTTTCTGATATTGCATCCATGCCAACTTGAAATGTATGTCTTTGCCTGTTGAAGCATCTCTAACCGATTCAATCCAAAGTTTAAACTTTTGCAAATTAAACTTTTCACCTCTGTACGGTCTGTTTGCGATGCCATTTTTCACTCCCACCCAGGTTCAAAAGCAATTCTAGATCACTGAGATGCAAGATGTTGCTGAATCAAGGCAAAGTATGAGTGCTGCCAGTGTTTGAAAGGTCAGATACTGACTGCATGGCTATGCGGTTGTTGACCACTTCTGCATGAACGCTGTCTTGCTTCAGTCCCGAAGGCGGCACAATTCCCTTTGGAAATGAAATGTTTAGAAGGCTGGATGTTGATAGGTAGGATGAACGACGCGCCTGAGCCTTTGCTCTTCTTCCCACCTTTCGCCAACGACGAGACGAGAAGAGTGTTCTGTCTTTTTGTGGGCGGCTCGTTGGTGCAAAACTAAGCCTACGGTGAGGTTGATAGGCTGTTCTTTTATTACAATCCTTTGCATTCTTGCTGAAAAAACTTGAAATACTCCACACGAATTCAACCAGCTGGACACCCCGCATACATTTTACATGACGCACGGGACGGACGAGGCCATCGTCTGGCGCCCAGAAGAACCGTGGCCGGTGATCCCATTGAGGGACAGGCGGGACGACCACGGACGTAATATTAGGAGCATTCGGCAGCAAATGACTTCTTTATGGCCAAACACGGCAATGAAAGCCCGGGTTGCGATCATCTGCGACAGCGTCCGACGGATCGTACCACGCCGGCGATAGCATTATACGGTCTTAAAGCACCCACAACATTTTAGCACGGCCAGCATAGCTTTCCATCAACAAGCTCATCACTCAGCGGTTTGCGTAAGAGGATGGGGCTCTTCTCCGACCTAGGGGGACGGGTAAACGAGGGTCATCACCGACCGCCGTGACGCAGTCGACTAAACCCCCCGCAACATCCGAGTGTTACCGTCGGCGAGGGCGTGACTCCCAGTTAGGACGGCCTCCAACCAGTATAAAGCTGGCCGGTACCGGTCCACAAGCTTCACAGACCCCAGCGAGTTCAGCCATTAAAATCCTGGTGAGAGCTCCGCTTGCGATGCTTGCTAACGATATGCGTCACGATGAGCTGTTTCATTTCATCAGGAGATCCAATCTCAGTTAGCAGCTCAAAAGAGCTGTTCCGCACTTAAAGATATTGAGGCAAGCTTCAGATGTGATACACAAGGCTCGCTGGTAGCTGTTCGCATGCTTTTAAATGCGAATGACTGCTGAAAATAGTCACTTCGCCGTAAGAAAATATGATTCGGGTCACATCATCGTTTCATTGCGTTATTCAACTTAAAAAAAAGAAATCAGCGACTGCGAGAGTTGCACGTCAGAGTAATCGCTGTAGCGGACGGCGACACACACTTGTAATGCTTCGACGTGCCACATGGTGGCATTGTTGATCTATGAGTGTGAACTGAACTTACGTGCGTTATGTGCGTGTGATTTTGGCCTTTTCTCGTGGCATTGCTGAATTTTTTCGTGACAGTATTTTTGCCTTTGCCGTTGCACCTTCAAATACGGCGATATTTTTAAGTCATTTTTCTCAGAATTATGTCCGCCTCCTCTAGCGGGTGTCCGAATAGCTGTGTTACCTATGGCGTAAAGCGGTCCGTGATCGCGACATTCGCCATTGCATCCTTTCTTCCCTTTATCCTGCGCCCCTCGGGACGCCAATGGATGTAGTTTTTCACGTGGTATTGCCATGGTGGCATACGCCTCTGGATCTAATCTCTCTAGGTTTTCCTATGAGTACTAGTCTGCACAAATTCACGTGCATCCAGCTCAGAGCCAAGAGGGTTTGAAGTGTTAAACCGAACATTGTTAAGGCTGTAAACTGCAGAGAATGAGCAAGAATTAAGCATTCGGTAACAAGTGACTTCCCTATGGGTAGATGCGACATGCAAACCCTTGAGACTTTGGAAGTCCCAAGTTCATGGCAGGCTGCATGCGCCAGTCATGAATAGGCCGAATACCCTCTTCGTGCGGCTCCCGTCCGAGCGCCTAGCAAATACCGTGCAGACAGGTTACGGGCTAAGCCTCGGCGGATAGGCCCCCAGGCGCGTGTAGTTAGACCCCCAGGCGTGTAAATAGACCCCCAGACGTGGCGCGTGTAGACAGACCCCAGGCGGGTGTGGTCACAATGATCTGTGTGATGAAATCATCTGTGGCGCGTGTAGATAGACCCCCAGGCGCGTGTAGTCTTACCCCACCGTCATACATTTTCCCTTATAGTCTGAATTGGTCACGATTGGCCGGAAGGGGTCTCATCCATCCCGCCTAAACCCAGATCGATACATGCACTTAGCGGCTCAATCTGACTATTTCTTCAATCACTGGTATTTAAATGGCCATATTTCAACCATGAGTGCAACGCAGCCAATGCGATGAAACCTTCACATGACTTTACTTTGATGACATGCATGTCTGGGTACTGTTCCTATCGGTGTTCCGATCTTTACCAGGCTCTACAAGTCCACGTGCATCAAGCTCAGAAACAAGGGGATTTTGAGCCTTAGATCAGACATGGCTGTGGCTGTAAACTTCAGACAATGAATATGAAGATAGGCATCTCAGTTCAAAACCCCATACAAATGTGAAGCCATCCCTTTACCGAAAGTAATTTAGAATTTGAAAAATCCTTCCCAAATTCACTGCTCCATTGCCACAACGGAACCGTCATCGGTCCGCGGGTAAAATCAGCCCCAAAATATTTAAAAACGTATTAGCATAGCCGAAATGCGTTTTCCTCTTACAGAGGTTTTATTAACATAGCGATCTCATCTTTCAGCTCGGCACGAATGGCGTGTAAAATAGGTGACAGGCTCGTTCTACTAAATGTTTTGAGCAGCAGCGTCCTATAGTTAACACTTTTTCAGATGGTAGTGTTCGCTGTCTTGGCCGTTGCGGCTGCCCAATACGCCCTGCCCTATGGCGGCCTGGCCTACTCGGTACAACCGGACGTCGCTACATACTGGACCAACTTGGCCGCCCCCTATACCAATTACGCCTCTGCCATCTATAAAGACATCGCTGCCAACGCCCCGGCCGGTGTACGCCCCCAACACGACGGCCTCAGCACCATATTCGACGGCAAAGTCCCCGTCTTTCCCATCGAGGGCTCGTTTAGTTACGTGGACCCCAATGGTGTGAAAAAGACGGTCGACTTCACTGTGGACAAGTCTGGCTTCCGTGTGTCTGGCACCAACCTGCCGCCGGCTGCTGTCACCGACGTGAAGACGCCCGCCGACGCTGCTGCTACCAAGGGTGGCTACCGCAAGTAACACAGCGCTCTGCCGATCGGCGATACCCCTGAGGTGGCCGCCGCCAATGCTGGGCACTCCCGCCTGAACAATGCAGCCGTTCTTCGTGTGTAACCTCAGACGTACGCTGCCTCCGGCGCTCTTGTCAGGTTCCAGGGCACGTACTGCCCAAAGGGCGCTTCTTAAACGTACAGCACTGTCCACCCGAACCCGGTCCCTTACATTCGCCTGGTTTAATAAGTGCTCGGAGCCTACTCACCTGCGATCAAATGCTGACTTTTCATCTCTGACTTGCTTCCAAACGTTCTATTTGTGTCCATATGCATATACACCGGAAGCCTGTCATGTTTGGTGTATTGTCTCAGCTTGTTGTCAGGGTGCGCAGTTACAGTTTACCGGCCTTGGTTGGAACGAGGGGCGTAAATATGTTGATCGTGTTTGACGTAATACAAAATATGCTCGGAAATGGTGGTATGGCTGTATTCAATGAAAGGGTGGCGAACACATGCATCCTAATTTTTCACCATTCCATGCTGTACTGGAAATGGAGAGAATATACGCATTCCAATTCTCCTTTTGATGTGATTGAGTCCCCTCCATTTTCGCTCATACAAAGCGCAAGTTTCACATTTTTTGGCTTCATTCGCCAACATTATTGACACGCAAAATGGCATGTGTTCGAGTTGACAATAAAACAGAGACAATACTGCCAGTTAGGAGCTAAAAGGGAGTTTTCCGTATTGAGATAAGATTATGAACAGAGATCATCATTCCACCATACCATGCAGTTCACAGCCACGTCATGTTTAAGACTTAAAATCCTTTTGTTTTTAAGCTTGACGTGCGCGAACTTCTGCAGACTATTTCGTGCAGCCTATTTCGAGGTCGAACAGATACTCACGACGCCTTAGAAACATCATACAAATGACAGCACCTCGTTACCCGTGCAGTGCTTAAGGTCAATACCAGCGATCATCAAATTAGTCGTGTCTGGCATACATCAGCACGGTTCTGGCATCAACAGACAGCAGTTGACCTTCAACCACTGTAATGTGTTGAGTGCAAGTATCGAACACGGACCACTTTTGTGCTACATGACACAGGAATTTGTGCAGTGGTACAAGTTATGACTGAAAGAAGACTGAGATCGAATAACTTAAGAATAGTGCCATAACCGCATACGTCAATGCAATTGAACAATACAAAATCCGAGACGAATGTAGAACACCACGAGAGGGGCTAACATACAAGCGCAGAACGATATTCGGGCTCAAGTAAGCAAGCACCAGTAAACACCCTCTACTCTCGACGTACTCAAACCACGTTTTCATGAACATGTTTATTTACGTATTACTGACTGCTGGTCGAGAACAGTTTCTTCCTCTTAGAATTAAACCACCACTGAGAAGTGAGCGTACGTCATCGCATCTGCCGCTTACCTCAATGTCTTGAAATGCGGAATATTCTACTTTAATGCTCTGTTTGTGTCCAGTTGTCTTTAAAGGGATTGCCCCACCTATGCATGGGGTTTTGAACTGGAATAGCCATCTTCAGGACCTTTTGATGCCATTCACTGTCGTGTCCCTTTTAGACCCAAAACCCTCTGGTTCCTGAGTTATACGCCCGCAAAAGTGCGATAAGGTTTATTGGGAGTCTACTCCAAAGTCACCTTGGCATTCATGACGTCATAGAAACGTCATGCGATCGCGGTCATACTACAGGCTGTTTTCTGTTCATGCTCAAAACAGCATGGCTGCTCATACATTCGCAAAAGCGATGATGCGGCACGTATGATACAATTCGTGGAAGGTGATTGGCTGCTGGAAGGATTTCGCTGCTGAATGCGTGTCGCGATCGTAAGCGTGGGCACTTTCGGGTTGTGCGACACTCGTGAATGGGCCATTTTCCTTATTTCTAGGCCACATGTCACTTTCATAATAAAGAGCGCCACTGTCTGCAAAAAAAGTACGGCACCCAAAAAACGACACTCTCCCGAATGTTATAAAAAGGAAGACGCGACGGCAAATCTGCCTTTTTCTCCTGCATACGCCAATAGAAGACGAAAATCTTCTGTTGGCGTATTTCTTACAGGCAGCTTGGTTGGTGCCCTGTGTACCGGAGCCAAGAACCTTGCAAGGGTTAATGGGCTAGCAAGGCGTCGTAAATCAAGGGTCAATATTAAAGCAATCTCGCACACACACACACACACACACACACACACACACACACACACACACACACACACACACACACACACACACACACACACACACACACACACACACACACACACACACACACATGCACACACACATACACACACATATATATATATATATATATATATATATATATATATATATATATATATTACTAAGTATGTAACGGACATCATACAAGAAATTTAACTCTTGAAAGAACGAATTTTGTCCGACAAATGCAACCTCTTGAGTTGTAGTACCATGAACACCCGTTGGGACTTTGTTTTGACGTGGTCTTACCGTGAAATGCAGTGAAATAACCGAAAACATATGCGGATGTTGCGACTAAACCTGCAATTTGATAGTCCCGCGGGTTGTGCTGGTGTGGGCTCACACCGATTTAACATTAGAGTGGATCAGGTGCCTGAAAAGGGTGTGACGATTGGTGGCGCGTGCCAGTGGCTTGTATTCATCTTGATGGGATGGGGAGTGTGCGTGCGGCGTTTGTACTTGGGCTACACTTTGTACTTGGGATACAGAATGTAATTTTTCAATTCCATGCCATTGTATTAGGGATTCATTTTGGCAGTAGGGGCAGGTCAGTGCAGCTCATCAATTGACATGTTTGGTATAAGGTCGCATGATACGGCTCTGCAAAATTGTCCTTCCCTTAAGAATTCTGACAATATAGTGCTGCATTATTATAGATGCACATACTACTGTTTTATGAACTTTTTTACACAGGCTAGCATTGCTTGTGAGCCATCAATATCTTAGTAACTGCAATTTGTGCGAGATGATCGGTGCTGAGAAAGGTAGAAAAGCATTGCTGTTGGTTTCTTGGATAGCAATTAACAATGTCTTATCATGAGCCTTGTGAGCACTGGCAGCTTCATCACTTCCTTGCATTTTGCCCATCTGACCATGACTACATGCACTTGTCTTATCTGCAGCCTTTTGCAAGTTCAGCAGGTTTGCAGTTCCATTGTAATATTTTCTTGTTATATATGTGTTATGTCTCGTGTGAACAATATTTTTGAGTGAAGCAGCCTGATGCCTGCAGCATGTTGCATGGCTGTAGAAGCAGAAGACGTGTTTGCATTTTTGTCTCCTGTGTTTTGTGGATTCACAAAACAGGCTGAGTAAGTGATGTCACTTATTGTGTGCTTTTTAAGAACCGTATCCTTGTACATTCTGCCATGCCACAGTACTGAGGTACAGCACTGAGGTAATACCACGATGACACAATGTCATACTGACCCGTGCCATTACACAAAGTACCACGTCGGTTGACTACCCTATGTCCAGCCTGTGAGATAATAGCTTAAACATTATGACTGGCTGGTAAGAGCTCATTTGATAACGCCAAAGGACTTTCGCCAGCGCGAATGCTGTTGCACCACGATGGTTATATCAGGGTTAACTAGAAATTGCACAAATAATCCCAAGCAAGACAAACACTCTTGTTGTCCCAGCCTCACCATCTTCACCATAGAACTAACAATGCTTTGGCGACTTATTCATAGCGATGCTACAAATTTATTCATTTTCGCATGCAACTGCATTCCAGTTACAGATAATCAAGAAAGTAACTACTGTGCACATCACATGACATCAATGTCAGGACTACAGCCTGGCAGGCAAGGATATGTCGATAATACAGCCCAACGAGCTACAATAAATGTTCTTGCTGATATTTTCACAACGTAAAAATAGTACAACTTTGGCCAGTTGAGATGACTGTGCGATAGCTGTTGTACAGCATAAACAGTGCGGCAACAGCATTTGTATCGTATTCATTCAAACTAACAGAGGTTACTCTTGGATAAGAATATGGTTTTCAAGCAACTAATGATCATACCATGTGCACTAATTAGTACATACTTTTGCCAGCCATGACAACTTGTTCTTGACGACAACAATAGGAACAAAATGTTTTTGCTGATATTTTCACCACGTAAAAATAATGCAACTTTGGCCAGCTGAGGTGGCTGTGCGATAGCTGTCGTGCAGGATAAGCAGCGTGGTAACAGCATTTGAAACATATTCACTCAAACTAACAGAGGTTACTCTTGGATAAGAAAATGGTTTTCAAGCAAGAAATGATCATACCATGTGCACTAACTAGCAGATACTTTACCAGCCATGACAACTTAAGAGATATGCTGCATCTGCCGTTGTAACTATTAAAATGACATCTACTCATCACCCTAAACCTATAGATATCGAATGTGTTGAATTACAGAGTTTTGGATGGATAGCGGCATGAAAAGGTAAGCGTTTCATATCATTTATCATTGTTTGTTCTAAAAAACAAACTTAGTTATGGACGCATGAGTCACAATTATTCTATGCTAAGAACATTGATCCCATCGGGTTGGAGCGTGCAAATGCTGGTGGAAACCAAATGTGCCCAAAAATATTGTATTTTCCCGTTTGTAATGCATATATATATATATATATATATATATATATATATATATATATAAACAATTGGAATACCTTGTTTTTCGAGGTAGTATACCAGTTTCCTGTCTAAACTATCCACCTTTTTGTCACTCAGAATAATTGTGAGCACACAATCTGAAAGAAGTCACAACTGTTTGCAGTTGTGCCATGTCATGCCAAGTTTACCTCAAGTATGATTACAACCCGTCAACAGCCTGCACCATAACAGTTGAGTCACCAGGTATCACGACCTGACGTGTAATTTCTCTTTGGCTCTGATATCAAACTGATATGACAAGTAGGTCATTGGCATGGAAAAATGCAAATAAAGGCAAAGACATCACCTTTCTCAAATAACAGAAGCCTCAGGGAGATAGATAGGCAGGAGCCCACCACATTCCTGTCAATCTGACATGAGAGCCTCTGAGAAACTCAGCGGGAGGGGTTTGGGTCATTTTTGACCGTTTCCTTTTGTGCAACGCCATAGGGCTGAAAACTAAGTGCACCAATCGTGGCTGGTTTTAGATGCCCCCTCTGGCTGTACTGCCCCCCTCCCCTGCGCAGATTTTGTTAGACAAACTCAATTCCAGTCCGGCCCCCGCTACCTTCACCTGCAAGTGTGGGTTTGTATCGTTCTTGTGGGCGTTCCAAAGAAATTACAACTCATTTGAACTGATATGAACAAACGAAATGCCTTGAAATAGTATGGCAAATTTCAGCGCCTTTAATGATTTCAAGAGAACACTGTGTGCATCCATCCGTGAGAACTACCTTCGTAAAGTCAACGATGAAGCATGAGGGAGCTCATTCGTGTTTTCACGCTAAAAACGTCCGCACATATGCCGAAATCTGTAGTCATTGGGTGTCTCACTCAGTTGATGCAGATATTTGGCTTGCCCACCTGCATACATTCTAGCACTGTTCTATTGCCCTGCATTCGGACAGGTGAGCATCCCTTAATCAGCGGTCATTGTTGTTCTTGCTCCTTAGATTACGAGGGCTCTGGGTCTAAAGCTGTTCGTGTTTCTTCTTTCACAAGTCCATTCTGCAAACGAACAACGTTCCCAGGCGAGTATGAGTGGACCATTTTCATTTTTACCTCATTTCGATCCACTCCATTCATCATTTCTGCCACCTTTTACGCCTTCAAGGTAAGGAGCCCCGTGAGTACAACACTAGGGGACACATTATTATTACTGGTCTAGGGCTGAAGGGCCATTTCGTCCCAGTGCAAATTGCGTTCCGGCTGCCGTTCTGGCGACACGGAGGCCCCTTGGTCGATTCGGAGACACTTCAAAATGATGCATCATACAATACACATGTGTTCTCGGAGCTGCACTCCATAAGCACGTGTGGGAGGAGGATTGTAAGCAGTGGAAAGGCCATGGAAATTGACGGAATCAAGTCTCTGCTACTAAAGAAACCTTGGGTTTGCCCTTCAATACCGTCGTTCGCCGTTTATGGCAAGATAAATGTTACCTTTTACTACATGAAGCAGTTGCATCCAGCAGGCATGACGAAGATCGCTGTTAGACTGGGGAAATCGGATGCATGTTTAAAGTAAAACAAAAGTGAGTTCAACGCCAACAATATCTGAAAATTGGGGATGGGAATGGTAAGCTTTGTGTCGAATGTATGCAGGTGAGCTAACCAAATATCAGCACCAGCTAAGTGAGGCACTCAATGTCTGCAAATGTTCCGATATCTGCGGACGCTGTAAGCGTGAAAACACTGACTAGCTCTTTCGTGCTTTATTGTGGACTTTTTGAGGGTAGGTGTTGCGGATGGATGCACATAGTGGTCCCTTGAAATAATTAGGGGCGCTGAAAGCTATCATATCATTTAAACGCATTTCATTTGCCTTCCCCCGCCACCTTGAATCAGCATTTCATATCGACTTGCAGACATGAGTAGATGGATTGAACTATGCAAAGCTGGTCTGTAGTGCTACAGAGACAACATCTGTATCACTAGTAGTAAGTGGATGTAACAGGGATGGGGGTGGAGACGGAGGCCTGAGGTTTTGTAGGCGTCTCCTCGGTACCAAACGAATGGTCAATGGTTAACAGTACCACGTGGTACGGTGACCTTGATAAGCTTCTGTTTTGTGGCAAATATGTGTATGCTTGCTCTAAACTAATATGAGATATCCCACGCCAATTGAGCCCACGACACAACATACATATGACATATATGACACAACCCCAACGACTTACGCGACGGACGAGGCCAGCGTTCTACTTTGTTGTTTCTTTTTTAGTTGTGAGCGGTTCGTTAGTGCAAAGATAGTCTTGCAGTAACCTGCATAGGCTGCTGCCGTATTGCAGACATCTGTCTTCCTGCTCAAAACTAAATTGAAGTATTTCACGCAACTGCAACCACACAGACACCCCACAGATGTTTTATATAACGCCCGGGACGGACGAGGCCAGCGTCCGGCGCCCGCAACAACCGTGCCTGGGGATCCCGTGGCGATACCGGCCAGACAACCACTGACGTCATATTGGGAGCATTCAGCAGCAAATGACTTCCCTATGGCTAGACACGGCGAGGAAAACCCGGACGCGACCATCTGCGACAGCGTCCGGCGGCTCGCACTATGCCGGCGCTAGCCTTCTACGATCTTAAAAGCATCTACAACATTGCAGCATTGCCAGCAGAGCTTTCCAGCAACAGGCTCATCACTCAGTAATTTGCATCAGGGGATGGGGCTCTTCTCCGACCTTGGGGGGGGGGGGCGGGTAAACGAGGGCTATCACCGACTGCCGTGACGCAGCCGACTAAACCTCCCCCAGCATGCGACTGTTGCCGCTGGCCCCGGGCGTGGTCCAACAGTTAGGACGGCCTCCAGACGGTATAAAGCTGGCCGGCACCGGTCTACAAGCATCACAGACCCCAGCGAGTTCAGCCATGAAATTCCTGGTAAGTCCTCCGCTTGCGTTGCTTGCTACCGATGTGCATCACGATGAGCTGTTTCATTTCATCAGGAGATCCAGTCCCAATCAGCAGCTTGAAGGAACTTTCCACACCTGGAGATATTAAGGCAACTTTATATGATATACATGTACAACCATATATGCTCACTACATACAAAGCTCACTAGTAATTTTTCTCATGCTTTTAAAAGCAAATGTCTGCTGAATGTAACAATTTTGCGATGAGTATGATTTTGATCCTACCATCGGTTCATTATATCACGGAATGTTTTTCATGACGTCAGAGTCACTGCGAGAGTTGCCACGTCAGAGTTGTAGCTGTAGCGGACGGCGAGACTCACTTGTAGTGCTTTGACATACCGCACGGTGGCAGCGTTCATCTATGAATACAAATACAATCTAAGAGGGTTGTGTGCATGCGATTTGGCCGTTTCTCGTGGTATTGTCGCAATTTTCGTGATCGTATTTTCGATTTTGCAGTTGAAATTTGTATTACGGCCCTATTCCTGGGTTACTTTCTCTCTCTTTTGTCTGACACATCTAGCAATTGCCCGAATAGCTATTTACCTAGGTGTAAAGCCGTCCGTGATCGCGACATTTCCCACTGCATCCCTTTTCCCTTTATCCTGCACTCGTCGGGATGACAGTGAAAGTAGGTTTTCACGTGACGTGACTATGATGACATACCTCTCTGGATCAAATTCCTCTAGGCGTTGTTATGGGTACTAGGCTGCACAAGTTCACGTGCGTCAAGCTCAGAAACAAACGGATTTGAAGTGTTAAACCAGACAGGGTCATAGTGGTCAAGTGCAGAGAATCGTCATGAATTAAGCATTCAGTAGCAAGTGACTAGTGACTTCCCTATGGTTAGATGCAGCAATGCGACCCCATGGGACTTTGCAAGTCCGAAGTTCAGGGCAGGCGGCACGCACCAGCCATGAATGAGCCAAATATCCCGTTGTGCGGCCCCCGCTCGAGCGCCTAGCACATAACGCGCAGAGGGGTCCCTGTGCAAGCGAAGCCCTGGCGAATAGACGCCCAGGTTCGTGTAGTCTTGCCCCACCGTTATCCATTGTCTTTTATTCTGCATGCATCACCATAAACACGAATGCCTTAAATGGCCATGTCTTCACCAGAAGTACATCATATCCAATATCAGGAGGTTTTCCCCTGGCTATTATGATGACATACATGCCTGCGTAAAATTCCTAGTTCACTTGCATGAAGCTCAGAAAGAAGAGAATCCAAAGTCTTAAACCGGACATGGCTGTTCCTGTAAACTTCAGAGAACGATCATGAAGATGGGTATCTCAGTTCAAAGCCCCACACAAATTTGGTGCAATCCCTTTAAATAAAGTGAGTTAGAAATTCAAAAATATTTCTCCAAAGTCACTGCTTCGTTGCAAAACGCAACTGTTATATGTCCGTCGGGTGACATCAGCTGCAAGATGTTGAAAAACATGTTAACATAACTGGAATGCCTTTCGTCTTTTGGTTGTTTTATGAATATTTGCGATCTCATCTTTCCACTGGGCGCCAATGGCTCGGAAAATATATGACAGGCCTTGTCTACTTCATATTTTCAGCAACAATGTTCTTTGAAATTGCTTCTTTCCTTCCTGCTCTTTCCAACAACAAATATTGGTTGGCTTGTCCTTTTCAGATGGTAGTGAGCGCTGCCCTGGGCGTTGCGGCTGCCCAGAACGCCCTGCCCTACAGTGGCCTGGCCTACTCGGTGCAACCGGACGCGGCCAGATACTGGACCAACTTAGCCGCCCCTTATGTCAAATACGCTACTACCATCTATAAGGACATCGCTGCCAACGCCCCGGCAGGTGTCCGCCTCCCGGACGACGGTTTCAGCACCAAGTTCGACGGCAAAATCCCCGTCTTTCCTATCGAGGGCTCCTTTAGTTACGTGGACCTCAATGGTGTAAAACAGACGGTCGACTATGTTGTGGACGAGTCCGGCTACCGCGTGTCTGGCACCAACCTGCCGGCGGCTGCCGTCCCCGACGTCAAGACGCCCGCCGACGCTGCTGCTACCAAGAACGGCTACCGCAAGTAACACAGCACTCTACCGATCGGCGATACCCCTGAGGTGTCCACCGCCAATGCTGAACACGCCCGCCCGTACAACGCAGCTGCTCTTGGTGTCTACCCTCAGACGAACGCTGCCTCCGGCGCTCCCGTCACGTTCCAGGGCACGTACGGCCCGGAGGGCGTTTCTTACTCGTACAGCTCTCTTGAGATCGTACAGCTCTCTTGAGAGAAGGTGTAGATCTGCTTAGACGTAATACAAAATATGCTTGGAAGCGCTGGTATGGATGTATTCAATGGAAGGGTGGCGAACACATGCATCCTAAGTTTTCACCATTCCATGCAGTTCATAGCCACGCCTTTTTGAAGACTTTAAGTCCTCTTGTTGGACAGACTATTTCCAAGTCAATCAGACATCCACGACGCCATCGACACACCACGCAAATGACATCATCTTGTTGGCCGTGCAGTGCTTAAGGTTAATACGAACATGATCATAAAATTATTCGTGTCTGGCATACATCAGCACGATTCGTGGCATCAACGGAAAGCAGTTAGCCTTGAACCATTTTAAGGTGTTGAGTGCAAGTTTCTAACACAAATCCCTTTTGTGCTACGTGATACGAGGATTTGTGCAGTGGTAATAGTTATGACTGAAAGAAGACTGGGATCGAAGAGCGTAGGGGTAGCGCCATATATAAATGAAGGAAAGTAATACAAAGTCCAGGACGAAAATAAAACACGAGAAAGCACTAAAACGCAAGCGCAGGACAATCTTCCGGCTCAGCAAGCGCGCAACAGGGAACATCCGCACCTCTCTATATACTTAAACGTTGCCGCATTCATGAATATATTTGATAATTGCTGATTGTCGAGAGCAGAATTTTCCATTTAACTCTAAACCATTAGTTACAAGTGAGCTGATTTTATCGTATCTGATGCTCACCTCAATATCTTTAAATGTGGAACATTCCATTTAAATGCTCCATTCGTGTTCAGTTGTCGTTGAGGCGAAAACCTGTCGTGTTTGGTGCATTCTCTCAGCTTGATACCAGAGTACGTATTGACAGTTACCGGACATCGTTTTGATTGGGACGAGGGACATAAAGGTGTGGATCATGCTTGACGTAACACAAAATATGTTTGGCAGCAATGGCATGTTTGTTAACACCGCAAGTGGTGGGTGGGCGGAGGGGCATCCCAATTTCCCTGCAATGACGTTGCGTTCCCCCCAATTTCGACCGTAAGGATGCATATTTTTCGTTTTTCCACTCAGGAAGACGTCTTTGCGTCACGCTGTCCGCCAGATGTGCCGACATCGCCTTATGCGTTATACAGCTTGCGACCGCTCCAGTTTTCAAAACCAGTAGTTTTGCACGCGGCAGAGCAAGTGGCTACCTCCGTGGCCGTGAGGGAAGTTCCCCATGGTAGTTACGGCGGCTTCTTCCGTGGTAGCGAGAGCGGGATATTCGGGGGCTGTGACAATAGACTCTCCAGCAACAGCGACAGCGGGTACGGAACATTCCCACCAAGTCGCAAAAATGTTATTGCTGATATTTTTACAAGGAAAGATAGTACAACTCTGGCTAGCTGACATAAGCTGTACAACATAAACAGTGTGGTAACAATAGTTGTAACATATGTATTTAAACGATCAGAGGTAGCTGTTTTATAAGGAAATGGTTTTAAAGGAACTCATGATCACACCATGCGCACTACCTACTAGTTTGTATCATCCATGACAACTTGAGAGATATGCTGCATCTGCCATTCTTCCGGCTAAAGTAATATCCATTTATTACCCTTAAACAATCGATATCCAGTGTGTTCAAATTTTGAGTTTTGGGTGGAGAGCGGACACATTTATAGCGGAGAGCGGACTATAACAGGACACATTTCACATCATGTATCAGTGCTTGTTTTTAACCCCGAAACTTTTTATGGATTTATCACTCGCAGTTATTTCAAGCCAAGAATATTTGTTTCTTCAAGTTGAAGCCGGAAACATGCTGTTAGAAACCATGCGTGCTCATAAATACCATGTTTACCTCGTTGATAATGAATACATACCATTGGGATGCTTTGTATTTCTAGGCAATATACCAGTTTCCTGCTAAATTGACAACATTTTCGAACTTAGTATAGCTGTAAATCCCACAACCTGGAAGCAGACATAACTGTTTGCGATCGTGCCATGTCATGCTAACTTTGCCTCGAGTATGATTGCAACTCGTTGACAGCCTGCACCATAACAACTGAATCACCAGCCATCATGCCCTGCGCCTTTAATTTCTCTTTTGTTCTGATATCATGCTGATATAGAAAATAGGTAATTGGCATGGAAAAATGCAAACGAAGATAAAAAACTACGCCTTTCAAATAAGGACAGCCCCAGAGAGATAGACATGCAAGAATCTAGCACTCTTTTATGCATATGCTTTAAAAACCTCTGAGAAGTTCGGCGAGGGTGGTGGGCTCGATTATACAGTTTCTCTTTGTGCAACACCATAGGGCTGAAATCTAAGTGCACCAATCGTGGCTGGTCTGGAATGCTCCTCAGGCTGTACTGCCACTCCCGTGTTTAGATTTTGTCAGCCAAATTCAATTCCGGTCTGGTCCCTGTTACCTTCATCTGCTGGCGTGGGTTTGTAGCTTTTTTGTATGCTACCCAAAAACGTTAGAAATTATTTTAAGTGACGTGACCAAATGACATGAATTGAAATACGTTCATACAGTTGAGGATCTCTAATGATTTCAAGGTACCAATGTGTACAGCCATCGGCAACAACTACTTTCGCAAAGTCGACGATGAATCACGAGGGAGCTCGTTAGTGCTTCGCGCTTATAGCGTCCGCGGACATGCCGACATCTGTAGTCATTGGGTGCCTCACTCAGTTGGTGCAGATATTTGGTTTGCCCACCTGCATACATTCAAGCAGTGTTCTATTGCCTTGCATTTTGACAGGGAACCCTTTGACATTTTGACCCTTATACCATGTTTTGCGAGTTAAATTGAGCTCCTTAAATTCTGCAAAAAAAGACAACGTTCTCAGGCAATCACGAGTTGACCATTTTCCTTTTTATCTCATTTTGATCCACTACATTTATCACTTCTCCGACCTTTTAGCCTTCAGGGCAAGGAGCCCCGTACGAAAAACACTAGAGGGCACATTATCATCACCGGCCCAGGGCTGAAGAGCAATTTCGTTCGAGTACAGAGTGCGTTCCCGGCTGCCGTTCTGACGACACGGGGGTCCCTTGGCCGATCCTGGGACACTTAAAAAGGATGCATCATACGATGAACATGTGCTTTCACAGTTGCACTCCATAAGCACGTGCTAAGGGGACTGTAAGCAGTCGTGCAGAGGAATCAAGGCTATGTAAGATGACGGAATGAAGTCTTTGCTACCAAAGGAACCTTGGGTTTACCCCTAAATACTTCCATCCGCCGTTTATGACGGGATGATATGCTGCCTTTTACGACATGAGGCAGTTGCGTCCAGCAGGTTTGAGGAAGATCGCTTGTGAACTAGGCAAATCGGATGCATGCTTAAGGTAGAACAATGCTACGTTCAACGCCAATAAGTTCTGAAAATTGGAGAGGGGGGTGGTAAACTTTGTGTGAAATGTGTGCAGGTAAGCAAACCAAATATCGGCACCAATTGAGTGAGGTACTCAGGGACTGCAGATGTCCCTAAGTCCCTAAGATGTCCCCGATGTCTGCGGATGGTGTAAGCATGAAAACACTAACGAGCTTTTTAGTGCTTTATCTTCGACTTTATGAAGGTAGTTGTTGCGGATGGATACACATAATGGTCCCATGAAATACTTAGAGGCGTTGAAAGTTGTCATAGCATTTACACGCATTTCAATTGCCCACCCCGCCACCTTGAATTAGCATTCCATATCGACTTGCAAACATGAGTAGATAGATTGAGCTGTGCAGAACTGGTGTGTAATGCTACAGAGACAACATCTATATCGCTAGCAGTAAGTGAATGAAAAAGGGATGGGGATAGAAACAGCGGCCTGTTGTTAGCAAGCGTCTTCTCGGTACCAAACGACCGCCTTGACGTAGCGGGCTAAGCCTCCTCGCAGCCTCTGAGTGTTACCACCGGTCCTCGCGTGGCTCAACGGATGCGTATTGAAACGTCCAGAGTTCATAAAGTCCCGTGGTCAAAAAGTTCAGAATCGCAGCATCTTGCGTTTATAAGATCCAGAAAACGTCCAAAACCCTTGGACAAAGGAGAATCATAAAAGCCAGTGCTCATAAAGTCCAGTGTTCATAAAGCACAGTGTTCATAACGTCCAGCGAGCGTGGAATCCATGGTTTGGGATGCTGTCCCATTTCCACGTAGCCCTTCACCTATTGCTTTGGATATTGCCCGAAAGAGGGCTACCGGAGCCGATTTCGCCGGCTTCAGCCGACGAGTGATGTCGTGCGCTACACTGCTGCCCAGTTAAACTACTGTGCGTAGATATGGACAACGTTTTGTTTGAGCGCACAAACTTTGCCGCGTCAGCACGCCCTTGGCAACAGGTGCATTAAATAATTCAAAACTTTGATCCCTGGCTCGTAGCATCGGAAATAGCTGGTTACTCGGCAGAACCTGCACGGCAATCGTGGAAAGCACTTGTCGGGTTGCCTTCTGTTTGGTATGGTGGGCTATGGATAAGATTCCCCGCGGTATTTGGTTCCGTTTTTTAATGTATGTGCCTGTGATGTTTCTCATTTTTTGAAGGAATTGATGGCTGATGTGTAAGGCTGACTGATTTGATGTCTGCTCCAGGTAGGCGCGCATATAAATCTCCAGCTCCTGGCACGCTAACCTGCATTGTTAGTGACGTTATTTGACTGATTCTCCTCCCTCCTCCAATTGCAAATTCTTTCACACGCTCCTGCAAACGAGACTGATTCGGAATTTTACATGCCTTTACTCTCAAAGAAAGGGGATGAGGGCTGTCTCATCAGCTGAATCCGGATACTCTTCCCTGGTGAGACTCGTTCAATGGCCCAGCCTACTCGTT